ACAACAATATGCTGTAACAAAATTTAATACATGAATTATTTCTGGAATTTTCCATTTTATAGTTTCAGACAATGGTAGACCTCAGCTAACTGAAACTAAAGACAGCAAAAATGTGAATAAGAGCGGACTATTGACTTGCACATGACAGACTTGTAAATTCAGTATTAGCACATGAGCTCTGCTGACATTCCAGAAGAAATGATAATCATTAAATTATTATTCGTTGTGAGTCACTAAATAGGCCCTGGAGCCTCCACAAGTGCCCTCATCTGCATGCAGTGAAGTGCAGTTCTCCCTTCCTTTTTATTATTTTAATTTAAATTTCTTTTTAACACATTCAGTAACATCTGTAGATATGTCTAAGAACAAAGTGATATAGCCCTCCTCCCTCACTCCCACCATCCTTTCTTTTAATTTTCTTTCTGTCATTTGCTTTCAGTTTTTGAGATAACATATTTTAAATGGCATTACAATAAAAAGGTTTAATACTTCCCCAAATAAGAAGCTTAATGAATAAAAGGCAAAAAGACACTAGTTTAGTGGGCATATAGACAATGACTGTAAACTATTATTGAATAGAAAATGACCATTTCACCCATATATAGTATCTCTGAGTCATTCATAATTTCTTTGAACAAAATAGAATCATTGATAATATAACATCTAAATATTTCTCATATGGTTACAAGATCATAATTAAGTTAATTTAGATTTTAAGCCACTTTCTATCAACAGTTATGCACAAAAATAATTTTAGGCAGATTGTTATGCAATCTATTAGTTTTATACTCTATCAGTTACTACAGATCAAGGAAAACAGATGGTATTTGTCTTTTTGAGATTGGCTTATTTCACAAGTATAATGGCTTCCAGTCAAATACATTTTGTTGCTAATGACAGGATTTCATTATTTTCATGAAGAGTACTATTCAATCGTGTATATATATATATATCACATTTTCTTTACCCTGTCATTGTTTGATGGGCGTCTGGGTTGATTCCTTGTCTTACAAATTGTAAATTGAGCTGCAACAAACATGAGGATACAGGTCACTCTTTATTATGCTAATTTCATTCTGTTTGGATAATATCCCAGGAGCGGGATGGCTGGATCATATGGTAAATCTATTTTCAGCTTTCTGAATATCTCCATACTGTCTTCCACATTGGCTATCCCAGTTTGCGTTCCCACCAACCGTGGATTAGGGAACACTTTTCCCCACATCTTGCCATCATTCATTGTTTTTTGATTTCTGTATGAGAGTCTTTCAAACTGGGGTGAGGTAGAACCTCATAGTGGTTTTGATTTGCATTTTCCTGATGGGTAGTGATCTTGAGCTTTTTTTTTTTTTTCATGTATCTCTTGGCCATTTGAATTTCATCTTTTGAAAAATGTTCAAGTCTTTTGCCCATTTCTTAACTGGATTGCTTGTTTCATTATTTTTTTAGTTTCCTGAGCTCTTTACAGATTCTAGATATTAATCCTTTGTAAGTTGCATAGCTTGCAAATATTTTCTCCCATTCAGTCAGTTGCTTCTTCATATTGTTAACTGTTTCCTTTGCACGGGAGGAGCTTCTCAGCTTGATGTAATCCAATTTGTCTATTTTTGCTTTGACTGCCTGTGTTTCTGGGGTCTCTTCCAAGAAGTCTTTCCTATGCCAATATCTTGCAGATGTTCTTCAATGTTCTCCATTAGTAATATAATTGTATCAGGTCATAGATTTAGATGCTTGATCTATTTTGAGTTGATTTTTGTATAAAATATAAGGTAAGGGTCTAGTTTCATACTTTTGCATGAAAAGATCCAATTATCCCAGGACAACCTGCTGAAGATACTGCCCTTTCTCCAGGGATTGACTATAGCTCATATGTCAAATATTATTTGGTTGTTTTGGGGGATTCTTTTCTGTTCCATTGGTCTACATGTCTATTTTTGTATAAATAGAAGATGTTTTGATAATAACTGCCTTGTAGTATGTCTTGAAATCTGGTATCATGATGCCTCCAGCTTTCCTTTAGTTATTTGAATTTGGCTTTCATATTTTGGATCTCTTGTGCTTCCATATGAATTTTAGCGTCATTTTTTTTAAAATCTGTGAAGAACATCATTGGTAGATTGATTGGGACCACATTCTATCTGTAAATTGTTTTCAGTAGTATGCAAATTTTTATGATATTAATTCTTCCAATCCACGAACATGGAAGATTTTCCCATTTTTTATGCCTTCTATTACTTTTCCTAATGTTTTGCAATTTTCATTGTAGAGATCTTTCATCATCTTGGTTAAATTTATTCCAAGGTATTTAAGTTTTTGTAGTTACTGAGAGTGGAACTGATCTTACAGGTCCTTTCTCAGGCATTTTTATTTATTCTTTAATTTTAATTATTTCTTACCTCCTACTAATTTGGGGTTTTGTTTGTTATTATTTGTCTAAGTCCTTGAGATGCCTTGATAGCTTATTTATTTGATGCCTTTCTAATTTCTGCATGTAGGCATTAAATGCTATAAATTTCCTCTTAACACTGGTGTTGCTGTATCCCATAAGTTTTCATATGTTATATTGCCATCTTTAATTTTCAGGAATTTTTCAATTTCCCTTTTTATTTTTTTATGAGCATGTTGTTTAGTCTCCATGTATTTGTATATTTTCCAGATGTTCTTAGGTTATTAATTTATAGCTTTAATGTATTGTGGTCAGAAGATACATGGTATGATTTCAGTTTTTGTGAATTTGCTGAGACTTGCTTTATGGCCTTGCATATGATCTATTCTAGAGGAAATTCAATGAACTGATGAAAAGAATGTGTATTCTGGGGCTGGTGCCATGGCTCACTTGGCTAATCCTCCACCAGCAGCGCCAGCATCCCATATCGGCCCTGGGTTCTAGTCCCAGCTGCTCCTCTTCCAGTCCAGCTCTCTGCTGTGGCCCAGGAAGGCAGTGGAGGATCGCCCAAGTGCTTGGGCGCCTGCACCCACGTGGGAGACCAGGAGGAAGCACCTGGCTCCTGGCTTCGGATGGCCCAGCGCTGGCTGCTGCGGCCATTTCGGGGGTGAACCAACAGAAGGAAGACCTTTCTCTCTGTCTCTCTCACTGTCTAACTCTATCTGTCAAATAAAAAAAAAAAGAATGTGTATTCTTTAAGTGTAGGATCAAAGGTTCTGTAGATACCCGTTACGTGCATTTGGTTCATAGTGTAGGTCAGCTCAGTTGTTTCTTTGTTGACTTTCTGTCTAGTGGATCTGTCCATTGATGAAAGTGGAGAGTTGAAGTCCGTCATTATTATTGTATTGGAGTCTATGTCACCCTTTAGATCCATTAATATTTCTTTTAAATAGCCAGACACCTTGGTATTGGGTGCATATATATTTATTATAGCCACATCTTCTTGTTGAATTTGTCCTTTAATCATTATATTATGCCCTTCTTTGTCTCTCTTTTTTAAAGATTTGTTTACTTATTCAAACAGCAGAGCTACAGAGAGGCAAAAGCAAAGGTGGGGTGGGGATCCCCTGATCTATTCCCCAAATGGTTACAACAGCCAGAGGTGAGCTAATCTGAAGCCAGTAGCCAGGAGCTTCTTCCAGGTCTCCCATGCAGATGCAGGGGCCCATGGACTTGGACCATTTTCTATGCTTCCCAGGCCATATCAGGGAGCTGGATCAGAAGTGGAGCAGTAGGGATTCGAACTGTTGCCCACATGTGATGCCAGCACTGCAGGCAGCAGCTTTACCCGATACGCCATAGCATCGGCCCCTTGGGAAGAACTGCTATAATCCGAAAGTTGCACTTATGAAACTTATATTTATTAAATAAAAGCTTTCTATAAAAAAGTTTTTGTGTTAAATTTCATTTTGTCTGATGTTAAAATGGCTGAATCTCCTCATTTTTGCTGTCTATTAGCATGGAATATTTTTTTCCATCCTTTCACTTTTAGTCTGTGTGTGTCTTAGATAGTAAAGTATGTTTCTGTAGGCAACAAATAGGTGTTTTTTTTTAATTCATTCAGCTGATCTGTATTTTTTTTAACTTTTATTTAGTAAATATAAATTTCCAAAGTACAGCTTATGGATTACAATGGCTTTTTCCCCCCCATAACTTCCCTCCCACCCACAACCTTCCCATCTCCCCCTCCCTCTCCCATTCCATTCACATTAAGATTCATTTTCAATTATCTTTATATACATAAGATCTTTAATTGGAGAATTTAGACCATTTATATTCAAGGTTACTATTGCTAAGTAACTGTTTGTCCATGCCATTTTCTGTAAATATTCCTATTGTTTGGTTTGCATTTCATTGTACTTTTCCTAGGAGATTTTCTGCTTTCACATTTTTTCATAGAGAAGACTGTCTTTCTGTGCTTCTATATAGCACATCCTTAAGCATCTTTCGTAAGGCTGAATGAATGGTGACAGATTCTTTGAATTTCTGTTTGTTATGGAAGGTGTTTATTTCACCTTCATTCACAAATGAAAGCTTTGCAGTATATAGTATTCTGGGTTGACAGTTTTATTCTCTTAAGTCTTGGACTATGTCTCTCCATTCTCTCATAGCCCATAGGGTTTCTTATGAAAAATCTTCGGTCATTCTAATTGGAGATCCTCCAAATGCAATCTGGTATTTCTCTCATGCATATTTTAGAATCTTTTTTATGTTTTCTCTGTTGAAAATTTGACTACAATGAGTTATGGTGAAGATTTTCCTGGTCATGACTATTAGGAGCTCTATGTGCTTCCTGCACTTTCTTTCTCCAAATTAGAAAAGTTTGCTGTTACTATTTCACTGAATAGGCCTCCTAATCCATTCTCTCTTCCCACTCCTTCAGGAACTCCTAAACCTATTTGTTGGGTCACTTGAGAGAATCCCATAAACCTTGAACATGGTTTTTAGTTTTTCTAATTTCTCTTCCTTATTTTTTTTTTTTTTTTGTCAGATGAGATGTTTCCAAAGATTGGTCTTCTAGCTCAGATATCCTTCCTTTTGCCTCACCAAGTAAGTTGTTTTTTTTTTTTTTGACAGGCAGAGTGGACAGTGAGAGAGAGACAGAGAGAAAGGTCTTCCTTTTGCCGTTGGTTCACCCTCCAATGGCCACCATCACCGGCGTGTTGCTGCCGGCGCACCGTGCCTATCCAAAGGCAGGAGCCAGGTGCTTCTCCTGGTCTCCCATGGGGTGCAGGGCCCAAGCACTTGGGCCATCCTCCACTGCCTTCCCGGGCCACAGCAGAGAGCTGGCCTGGAAGAGGGGCAACCAGGACAGAATCTGGGGCCCGCCCGGGACTAGAACCCAGTATGCCAGCACCACAAGGCAGAGGATTAGCCTACTGAGCCGCGGCACCGGCCTACCAAGTAAGTTTTTAAGGCTTCCTCCTATTTTTTAATTTGACATACTGAATTCTTCATTTCTAATATTTCTGTTTGATTTCTCTTCAAGATTTCTATCTCATGGGAGAATTTTTCATCCATGTCATGTATGGATTACTTCATCTCATGTATTTGCTTCTCATTGCTTCTCAGTAATCCTATGATGATTCTCTTGAATTCCTTTTCAGGCATTTCACCAATCTCTTCATCTTCACATTCTAATATTGAAGTGTTGTTTTGTTCCTTTGGGGGAGTCATGTTGTCTTCCTTGTTCTTGTTTCTTGTATTCCTGAAATTATTTTTAGGCATTTGTGAAAACACTTGGTTTTCTCTGTTGATGGGTTTTATCTTTGTATGCCTCTATGTCTTAGCAGTGTCTGATCTATCAATGGATACCCAGAGGTATGTGCTGGGTTGAGCTAGGGAGCTCTGGCCAGTGTTCAAGTGTGGGATGAGAATCCAGGGTAACATTGTGTGTGGATGCAGAGAAGGAAATATGCTTTGGATTAGAGGGTTCCCTGCCCCCTGCTAGGTCTTGAGGCCAGACTCAAAGTCAGTGTGGTACACAAGGATCTCCCTCATCCAATATCCCCAGTGGCATGAGCTGCCTCAATCTGCCCTCACCTCACTCTCAGAACTTGGTGTCTCCTCCAGCCCTGGCTATAAGAGTTGTGGATGCTAGCCCCACTTGCTGCTGTGAGTCCTCACCTTTCACACTCCTCCACAGTATTCCTCTTCTTTCTGTAGAGTTTCCACTGCAAAAGTCTTTCCAGCTCCCCACTGGGAGTACACTTCCTCCATTTTTCTTCTATTACCATCTGCTACCAGAATCATCATGTCTTTTCCCTTTTCAGCCATATTGGAAGCCTCCTAAAGTCACTGTTATGGTCATTGGGCATGAGGTTGCTGCCTAACTGCTCACAGCACAGAGGCCTAACTGCACTCACCACCGCCCACTGGTGCCTCTCACCAGCAGCTCTCCAGAAAGATCCTAACTCTACCTTCAGAACTAAGTACTGCAGGAATTTTAATTACTAGAAAAAATGAGCTTTTAACCTTAAAGGCGAATATGCATCAACAGAGTATTAGACATACGAGTTAAAATTACTAAAGGCTCAATTGCATCCAAGTAATACCTCAAACAGAGATTAGTAGAAATAAGATTCACTCATATTTCACAGCTCTTGTCAGGTTTTAAAATGTTCAATATAATTCAACTGATGGCTTTTGCATGATTGAACAATTATCAAGTGGAAATCATGATTCATTATAAATTCCAAAAGTAATGTCCCTTAAAAGTGGTTAAATATTTCTCTTAATGGAAGGAAATTTCTCTATTTTCTTTTTCTCTAATTCTTAATTTTCTGCACTGCAAAAACTAAAATAGGAATGAGAAGAACCCAATCCCCCATTGCCTTGCAGATGGCCTCAGGCATGCCACTTAAAATCTGTGATTCAGTGTTCCAGCTATAAACCAAAGATATGAGCTGAAATTATGTATGAGGCCACATAGCACTAAAATTCCACAATGTTATCTTTGATTTATTTCCTCACATTACTCAATTGACTTGGATTATTTTCTTCGGGAACTGCATTTTCTCCAATGTAAAATGTTATTCAGATTAACACTGAAAGTCAAGACAATAAAATAATAGCATCAAAAGACATAAGATCTGTATAACATTGGCAGGAATGTGGTGTTGCACATCTGTGCATACATACTCAGGGACTTTTGGTATGTAGTCAGTGTTCAGTAGTATTTAGTGAATTCAAAGAAGGATCCTTGCTAAACATACAGCCTTCTTTATTTTGGGAAGATATTTTTCTTGTTTGTTTTGTTTATAAAAGGGAATTCTTTGCTGAATTTTTCAATTCCTATATGGGTGACATATAGGAATTCAGGAAGTCCCCAAATGAGTAAAAACCTTCTCCGATGCACAGACATCCCATATTATCCTTCAATATAATGCACAGAGTTGTTTTTCTAGGCAGTGCCCTTGAAGTATTCATGTATTGCACCATGAATTCCTTCCACAATCTTTCCTCAGCCATCTTCCATAAGTCAAAGATCTACTCTCAATGCAAGGGATACAGAGGTAGATGAAAATAACAGCAGTGCAGTTTTGCTGTAGCTTAGAGATTCTGAAGGAAAAAATACACAGAAAAGCATATAAATACATGTCAAAGAAAATTCTCAAAAAATAGTTATTATTATAGAATAAAAACATGTAGCTGGATATCAAGACAATGTGAAAAACTAAGATAAAGAGGTAATTCAAATAAGGTGATCTCAAGAAATGATCCTTTAGAGGACATCATGTGGCAAAATAAAGGCAGTGGAAGATCTGGATACCCATTGACCAGCCACAGGCAGTGGCAAGCTCAAGTTTCCTAATACCCAAAAGATCTTGAAGACTTGAAGAACACATACATATAGGTCATTGTGGTCAGAGTGTCCTAAGGGGCCGGTGCTGTGGTGTGGCAGGTTAAGCCACCGCATGCAGTGCTGAAATCCCACATAGGCACCGGTTCAAGTCCCGGCTGTTCCACTTCCAATCCAGCTTTCTGCTATGGCCTGGGAAAGCAGTAGAAGAAAGCCCAAATCCTTGGGCCCCTTCATCCACGTGGGAGACCCGGACAAAGCTCCTGGCTTCGGATCAGCACAGCTCCAGCCATTGCTGCCAATTGGGAAGTGAACCAGCGGATGGAAGACCTCTCTCTCTCTCTCTCTCTCTCTCTCTCTGCCTCTCCTTCTCTCTCTGTGTAACTCTGATTTTCAAATAAATAAATAAATCTTTAGAAAAAAAAAAAGAGTGTCCTAAGGAAGAAATTAGACAAGAATTTGAGAAGTTCAGAGAACAGTTATTTAAGTCTCATCTGGTTGCTTAATAGCCACATGGACATAAAGCACTTCACCTGCCCTCTGTGGCTCCCTGGGGGTGATAGCACTCGCCTCACAGGATTTCTGTGAGGATGAGATGTAACAAAAATCTTCTAGTACCATTCTATGTTATGCCAGATGAAATTCAAACCCTGCACACAGCATCCAGGAACTCTAGAATCTATAGCTTCACTTCAGTTACTTGAACCAAGTATAAGAATTCTTCAGGGTTCCCCAAGTGAGCTAGCATTTTCCCTGTCTGGACCTCACACTGATATTCATTCTCCTTGAAATACTTTCCTACTGTTTCTTGCCTTAACTCACTCTCACTTGTGTATCAAGACTAATTCAGGAAATACATCTCCATGGGAATTTCCATGACAATTCCAGGATGATGCAAAAAGCCCTACTCTGGAGTCCAACAACATACTAAGCACCCCTGATCTGTACTCACGACTTTGCCAGTTTGTTTCCTCCTCTCTACTGTGACTGCTTCATTCTGTCTTTGAGGAGACTGTGACATATTTGCACATTAGGCGCTAACATGACTACAACATTTAGGTGCTTAGCAAGCATTTATTGGGCAATCCCTATCTCAACTGGAGTCCCTCAAGACTGAAGATCTGCACATAACTGGCTTCCACTGTTAAGTTGCACTGTCAAGTTCAAATGTTCAACATTTTCAGTGTTGTTCAAGATAGGATGGGTTGTTCCACATCCTCAAATTCCAATGGTTTGGGATAGGTACTTGGTGCAGCAGTTTAAGACATCACTTGGGAAACCTGCATCCCATATTGGAGCGCCAGGGTTTGAGTCCCAGATATGCTTTTGATTCCAGATCCCTGCTAATGCAGACCTTGGAAGGCAGCTAGTGATGGTTTAAGTACTTGGATCCCTGCAGCCTAACTGGGAGACCTGTATTAAGTTCTGGCCTCCTACTTTTGGCCTGGCCTAGCCCCCTACCTGTTGAATACACTGGAGTCCAGCAGTTGAAAAATCTCTGTCTTTCTCTGTCTCTCTGGGTCTCCCTGTCTTTCACATAAATTAAAAATAAACAAGCAAATAAATATTAACCACTTAATGCAAATGATAATTATTTCTCATTCATGCAACACGTTGAATAGATATAGGCAGAGGGATCTGCTCACTGGAGTTCTCAAGAACTTGAAAACACAGAGATGCCTTCTTAACATCTGATCCCTTACAGTGACAAGGGAACATGGAGAGTCACACACAGGATCTTGCAGCTTCTCCCAGAAAGATACACGATGCTTCTATTTGTATTTCATTTGTCTTGCAAATTATAGCATCATGAGAAATTTCAAAGAAGGGGAGGAGGCTAAATATTGCCACATGTTCAGAAAAAAAAAATCTAAATGTTGGTGAACAGACCTAATAACCACCACTTTTTCACCAACTTTCTACTAATTCATCTGTAGTCCCTCTGACCCTTATCTATAATCCACTTGTATTATCCCTACTATATGCAACAGGTTTGTGTGCCAAAATTCAATCTCCAACTGCTATAATTTCTTGGAGAAAATTAAATATTTTATAAATTTGAGGAATTCTAATGAAAACCTAGAGTTCATCTGACAATAAACCCCTTAACCCGCAGTCATCTCTTCCTTACTCTGATACTTCCAAATTGCTCCTTGAGACCCTAATTTTTCTCTCCCTCAGCGCTCCTTCAATTCTCAAAAACTCCAAATTTCAACACCCAACTGGCCCAGTAGAAAAAGAGGCCCCCATTGTTCGGGACTCCCCTTTCTCAAAAACACTGTTAATGATGATAATTCTGGTCTGTTATTTTGAATAGTCAGATGAATGAGTAACAAATGAATGAATGAATGAAGACTATTGAAGAACTATATGTGCTTTAGCTTTTATCTGGACATTTGGTGTAACTGCTTTCTAAGGAGTCATATCAGGACTCTCCAGTATTTTAATGACCAAGTAAGTTTTTAACCATGAACAAATGCTTGGAACATGAATGAATGAAATGCCAAATGTTGTGTGAGTTCTAGCTTTAAATTTTCAACTTGTCCCAGCTCTGTCAAACTTTTCCTCTTACATGTCTGAGAGAATTTGGACAAAGGGTTCTTAAAGGCCCATTTAATAATTTCTAAATAAAAATGTTTAATTTTCAAATTTTCTGTAATTTCCATGAGAACATCCCTTTTAAATGTATTTTAAGAGCTAACTGGAATAGAAAAGAGCTCCACACATGCAAACACTCATGTGCACATGTATGCACACACATGTTAATGAGCAGGCACACACAGAGTATTCAAAAACTATTTTGAAAATGTCACCAAAACTTCAATATAGCTATATAGTCTATATAATAGCTATAGTCATTAGCATCATCGCCTATGGGCCTGGATAAGCATGATCTGACTGGTGCTCTGCCATCTTGGCAGTTATGTTGTCTTGGAGTTAGGATTCATTTTTTTCATAGGCACTTCCTCACTTCCTCTCACAGTAAAATTTATGTTCCAATAGTGAGTGATATTACTCAAGTCACACAACTTTTCTGAAAGTCAATTCCTAAGCTCTGGTGATCAATAGCATTGGAGCCACATGAGTAATAGCATCAATAGATTACACATACATGCCTGGGGCACACACATACATTATCCTATTTAACATTCTGTCTTTTCCTCTCTCTCCTAGTACTATAATCCTAGTTTATAAATAAAGAAGCTGAGAGAACCTAAATAACACATCTAGGGCTACAATTAAAGCAAGTTGAACCTAGGTGTTTCCAACTCTGGAGACGGAGCTCTTGCTTCTAATCCTACACATTTGTCAAAGAAGATAACGGTACCAGGAGTCAAAATTTTTGAGATTGTCAAATGAAAACAGATTATGAAATGATAAGAAAATATAAAAACAATTCCACAAGAATGCAATAAACTATTGAACAAAGGAACTACGTTGCTCTAATCTATGTGTTCCTTGATATACAGAATACACTAAATGCTGAAGTATTCAGTAAACACCAATTCAGGTGATCCCTTGTTCACATCTCAGTAATCACATGGTTATCAAGGAACCGTAACTACCAGAGCCAAGATGACACCACCGAGACAGACGCCCCTGATCTAGTTGCCAGGTAATCCACATTTGTATCCTGGGAATGGGAAACCTGAATGGAAGTTCCAAGAACTGAGCATCCTGGGAGAGTAGTTACATGCACACATATAATCTGGAGAGAAGATAATTAACTCCTGCTGCAGAGAGCTTCAGAGATTCCCGATTTCTGTACTAAGTTTTACTGTTGGCTTCTTTATTTTACTCAATGAGTCACCTCAATTTCTTACCATGAAATCCTACCCTTCCTAGGTTTATTAGTTTAAACTATTCAGAATTTATTTTCTTTAGTTTGTAACCAGCACACCTTAGCTAATAAAATTCACTAATACCTATATTGGAAAGTTCTATGGACTTGATGTTTATGCCCCCAACACCTCAAATTGCTATGTTAAAACCCCAATACCCAATGTGATGGTACCTGGAGATGAGGCTTTTAGGCAGAGAATTGGATCATGAATGTGGAGCCCTTAGAAATAAGATTAGTGTCTTTATAATATGAGAAACTGGAGAGATGATGACTCTCTCTCTGCCATGAGAAGATACAGCAAACCAAGCCATTTGCAAATCAGGAAGAAGACCTTCACCAGAACCTAACTATGCTGGCACACTGATCTCAGACTTCTCTAAGACTTCTCACAGAAGTAACTATCTGTTGTCTAAGCCACCTCATCAACGGCATTTTATTATAGTAGACTAAACTAAGATGGAAGAGTATGAGTAGTTGTGGAAAACTTAGGGGTGCACACATAATTATTAAAATAGCAAGTTGGAGAAGGAGAGAAGAAAAATAACCAGTTTATGGCAAACATTGAAGTGTATGAGAACCCTCTAAAGCTGAGATCAGCAAATTACAGGCTAAAGATTTTTGTAAGCATTTTATTGAAACACAGCCATGTATATTCTTTGAGCTTTTATGTACTGTTTATGGTTCTTTCATTCTGCAATGACAGAATTGTATGGATATGGCAAAGTCTATATGCTATCAAAGTCTGTAATAATTATGATCTCACCAGTTATAGCAATGTTTTGCCAATCCCGGTTCTAAAGTTTGTTACCCTTATTCAGCTCAGGAGTAACTTTGCTCTGCACAAGTCACCACCTGACATCTTGTAGTGGCTTATCCAGTTGTCACGCATTCCTCTAAATATAGACCCACAATTCCCCCTTAATTCCTCCAAAGCACTATTAAGACAAGATCATGATGGTTAACAAAGCTCTACTGAAGATCTGACATAACAGAAAAGAGTTTAAACAAACAAAAGAAAGCTGAAAGGAAGCCCTAGCCCATAGCCTGGCATAGAGCAGGAGCTCGCAACTTGTAAAACCAGTCCTAGTGTCTGATGAATTCTCAATCTGCTCCAGTGTTCTTGGGCCAGCCTTCCCTCCATTCTGTCTCGCTCTTCAGACCTCTTTTTCTGCAGATCACTGAAATCAGAACATTCTTGCAGTTTCAACTTTACCTTATTACCAGGATCCTGAACTCTCTCATTCCAGAGCAGGTAGGAATTTGTTTTACTTTTATAGAAATAAAACGCCCACTGAAAAGTATTTTATTTCTGAATAACAGAAAGAAGAGTAAAAGCAATGGACAGATGGAAAGAAAGGAAGATGAGGGGAGGATAAAGGAGAGGACAGGTCACAGTACAAGATTACCCATTCCCAAAAGATGTAGTAAAAAAAAAAAAAAACACCTCCTGGCAGCTTCATGGTAGCACCATGACCTGATACACAATGAATGCTTACCTGTGCCAAGGACATCACAGGGTATGTTATGTACATTTAGTATTATTATTCTCAGTTTGCAGGTAATAACTCTTATGTGCAGAGAAGACAAGTTACATGACCAAGGTCAAGGTCGCAGACCTGCCAAGAGGAAAAGTCAGAATTTGAAGCCACATCTTACTTCTAGACTGTGGTAATATCCGATTGATCTGCCTGTCCTACAATGGGGACATGTGAGTTCTAATGCTGGCTTCGCCAGTAGCTGGTATCTTGATTGTGAGAAGCTCTTTTAACTTTCCTGTGTTTCAGGTATCTCACCTATAAGATAGAAGGCTCTGAGTCTCTAATGTCCCTTTCTGCTATAAATAAATGATTACTTATAACTACAGCATACCATATTTCTTAGGACATGATTCAAAATTTCTTTATACATTACTAAGAAACAAAAATGCTGCTAATTAAACAATAAAGCAATGGTTTATCACTGTGAATTTCAATTTAATTATTTATCAAAAAAATTAAATATTAAGCATAAGTAAATAAAATTTATCATATATCACATTTCAATATGCATCAAATTGAAAACATAAGTGACATAAATTGGGAAACATATTTCTAAAACTTTCAAAGTACATTCTTCTAAATAACTCTACAATTCAAAGACATTAGTGTCCACATTTTGCAGAACATATTATTTTCTATGCCATCAAGAGTGCTGCATCATTTCATTTCTTCAAACAGTGATTGCAGTTGTCTCCCAGAAGCTCTTCCAAACAACCCAGCCTCATTCTTTGAATTCCTAAATTTTACCAGATGATGTAAAGAGCAGGATTTTTAGACAATCTTGTGCATATTGAAAATCAAATATTGGCTTTGTGGTCCTATGTCAATCGGAAAACTCAGGACGAAGCAGCCTGGTTATGTTGGGACCCCTGCTTAGTCATCTTCCCAGGAGATAGCTCAGATAGTTTGGTTTGGATTTGGAGCCCTGGGCACAAGGAGAACGCACTACCTAATCCTGCCTTAGGGCCATAAACTTCACCAGGAACTGAATCCAAGGAACCTTGCTTTGTTTATGATTCCAACCTTCTGGGTTCCAGAACCATAACATCTGAACTCTTTATTGGCAGCCCTCCTGGGGTCTATAAGGAGTATACTAGAATCTAATTAATTAATCTAATAGTGTACACAGTCGTTAAAGAGTAACCACAACTTTAATGAAGGCTGTAGGGCACCAGATGTCCCCTTTGATGGTAACTCCAGTTACTTTGTCTCAACCCTCCCTGTTCTTTCCTGGCAGGCCTCCTCCTAGGCCAATTCATTTCCTGTTGTACTTCCTGGTATCCTTTCTCCTGAGATGATGTGGCAAGCATTTGATTCTTAAAGCCTCTGCTGGTACTAAGTCCTGTTCCTGAGTCGTCTGAATGAATCAGTGTGAAGGCGGCATGTGACTCGGTTTCCTCACCTGCACTGGGGGACAAGGCTATCCCTCTTGCAGGACTATCATTCAGATTAAATACAATACAGTATTTGGAGTGCCAGGTGTCACACAGGATACCTCATTGCCCTCTCCCCCTTTTGCCATTCTCAGCCATTCCTCTGCTCTTCTTTCCTCTTCCCTTTTAAACCATTTGTTTCCAAAACCCATTCCACCGTCCTGTCCTCCCTTCCTCCAGTCCCCTCTCCTTTCCTGCTTTTGTCTCACCCAGTTTATTTCTCTCCTCTTTTATTTGCTTCTTCCATTATTTCTTCTCCTCTTCTGAGTTTTTTATTTTCCTTGCCATCTCCACTGAAGTCCATCACAGTAGATATGAGAATCTGTGGATGTCTACAAAGACCAATAAACACTGAAAAGTTTAAAACTCAAGAATAGCACACGAAGTGGCAGACGGATAAAAGTGTTTGCTGTTTGTTTTCACAATAAGACCAGCTTTTCCAGCACATCTGACAGTGAGGAGATAAAGCAAGAGACTGAGGAGTTGAGGAGAAAGAAAAGGACCAGCCTCTCATTTTATTTGCTATGTTGACTCAATGCTGGGAAACAAATATGCCCAATACTTACAAGTTTCAAATATTTGACCTCTTTTTTAGCCCAGAGACATAGATAGATAGATAGATAGATAGATAGATAGATAGATAGATAGATTATAAATATATATTTATATAAAGATTGTAGATTTATTGATAGGTAGATAGATAAAGCTCTTGTGTTGACTCACGCTCCAAATGCCCACAGTGGTTAGCGTTGGAACCAGGAGAAGGAATTCAATCCAGGTCTTGTGGACAGCAGAAATGCAGTTACTTTAGCCATCTAACACTGCCACCTCCCAGGGTTTGCATTAGCAGAAAACTGGAATCAGGAGCCCAGTCAGTTGTGGAACTCAAATAGTTCATTATGGGATGCAAACATCTTTTTGAGGGAGAGGGAAAATCTTTATTACTAGGTACAGGAAACGCAACAGTGCACATGGCCAGTCCTTTAGTTTTGGTCTTTTCCAGCTTAGCAATAGGAGCCACAGATTTGGGACCCAGGATGGTAACTCCCCAGCGGCAGTGGATCTCATCGCATCTGTCATTGTAATCGGCCTGATGGCTTTCACCAGCTTGGCCAGAGCCGCTTTTTCTTCTGAGTTTACTTGTGCAAAAGTGACAATGGTGCAGGTCTTCCTGTAGATAAGACACCCAGCCAGGCCTTTCTCTTTTTTTTAAGATTTTATTTATTTACGTGAGAGGCAGAGAGAGGGAGAGACAGAGAGGTCTTCCACCCACTAGTGCACTCCCCAAATGGCCACAGTGGCCAGATTTGGGCCAATCCAAATCCAGGAGCCAGCAGCTTCTTCCAGGTCTCCCATTTGGGTTCTGGGGCCCAAGTGCTTGGGCCATCTGCCGCTACTTTCCCAGGCCATAGCAGAGAGATGCATAGGAAGAAGAGTAGCCGGGACTAGCATCAGGCCCGCAGGCAGAGGCTTAGCCTACTGCATCACAGTGCAGACCTTTCTCTCGGCGATGCAATAAGATACCCTCATCTTACAACACAGGGCAGGCAAAAGACAGCCCACTCGATGGGATCCACATCATATGCAAACACCACCAGCTGAGCCTGCTTATTCTCCACCAAGGTGGTGACAGTGCTGATACCTGCCCAGAGGACAGCAGCTTTAGTCTCGGTCTGAGTAAACAGCCTTCGCTTCTTCTCTTGTGCGGTCTCTGGCCTGTACTTGTGGGTCAGCCACCTTCAGCCATTGAGTAGCTGTGTGGTGGCTCAGGGCTTTTGTGAACTGGTTAATGGCAGGAGGCACCTTTAGCTGCTTCTGCAAGGTGACCTCTGCTCTGCAATCGGATGTAGCAGGACCATTTGACAAAGTGAGTGAGGTTCCACATGGGCTGAGTGTCCGGTTCAATGCCAAAGCTCTTAGGCCTTTTCTCAAACAGAGGATTCACTACCTTCTTGACCTCTTTCTTCTTCATGACAACAGGGCCACATTCTTCCCCTTGGCCTTCTTTCCTTTTGGTATCTCTGGTGGCTAGAGGAGAGTGGGATGCAGGCATCTTCACTGCTGGGCTAGACACTTACCTCTATCAGGGCATTTTAAATCTATTGACAGTGAAAAATATAATCTTAGCTCATCTATAAGTAAATCTACAGGAATTTTTGCTTTTGATGTTTATGTGTAGGCAGATTGTTTTTAGAACACACTTTAGCTGAGATCCACTTTCTCTTGCTGTCTAAATTATAGGCCCCATTGAATTTCCCTTCTCACAGTGCTCAAGACAGGTGAAGCACTCATATGAATTCTGTGTCTCACTTCTCCAGCTCCACTTGCTGTTTCACTTGGCCATATGACCCTCTTATTGACAATGACATCTAGATAGAGTCTGCCAGGGTGGATTAAGAGAAAGCTTTTGCTTTTCTAACCAAAATAGGATACATGGATAGACTGGCAGGTATAGTTTTGCCCTCATTCTTTCCATCTTAAATGCAAATTATCAGTGAGCTTCAAAACATTCATGAAAATGTGTATTATATTTTAATTGCATCTTTCCATTAACTTTTTCAAGCCTCCTTGTAATGATTGGGCATACAGGCACAATCTTATGACCATGAAGCCCAAGTGTATTTCCACTCAACTACCTTTGCAATTCTGACACAATGCTTGCAACTGCCTACTTTGTAAAAAATAAACCACTATCTACTTAACTCTTCAGGCATACTGTAATTTGTAACCAAAAGTATTACTAGTCAATATTCTTCGGAGACAAGCTGGATTCCCAGTCTCCCACAACCCAGATCTGAGAGGAAAAGTTACTGTGAATGCATGCACATGCATTGGAAGTACCTTTCTAAAGTTCTTACAAGGATGAAATCAGGCACAGTAAGTAAAGGAATAGTTATAAATCTGGCATGTAGTAGATACTCTAACCCTCTTACCTCATTTTTCTTGAGAAATACTGCCCAGTAAAGAGATGTCCCCATCAGAACTCAATAAAAGATTCCCATGGGTGTAGATTCTCCGTATCTTATTTTGGGGTTCTTGTGCTCCAGTTTGTTAAACGTGCACATTTTCTCCTCATCTGGTGACTGATCCTAAGGATTGCCAATATCAGAGTTAGTTAATTACCAATACTACATCATTTTGCATTCGTTCATTCCAAGTCTGTTTACCAAGGTTTACCAAGCTTTTATCTTTCCAAGCACTGAAAAAATTGTTCTTGTCTTCCAAGAGCTTAGATTCTAGTCAGAGAAGGCAAAAAACAAGTAAACAAGCATCTAAATAAGATCATTTAGGATAGTAAGATGTTCTATACAGGAAAGAAATCAGTATTTTTGTTTAGAAAATCCTGAGAGTAAGTTAAGTGGAATGGTCAATTATCACTTTTCTGAGAAGGTGATTCCTGCGTGAGACTAAAGTGAAGGGGCTGAGCAGCTATAAAGAAAAGCACTTTAGACACAACCAACATCAAGCAGCAGTGAAGGCAGCTTGTGCTCTTTGATTTCTTTCTCATTTGAAAGACACAGTTACAGGGCCAGCGCCGCGGCTCACTAGGCTAATCCTCCACCTGCAGCGTCGGTACCCCAGGTTCTTGTCCCAGTTGGGGCGCCAGATTCTGTCCCGGTTGCTCCTCTTCCAGTCCAGCTCTCTGCTGTGGCCTGGGAAGGCAGTGGAGGATGGCCTAAGCCCTTGGGCCCTGCACCTGCATGGGGGACCAGGAGGAGGCACCTGGCTCCTGGCTTTGGAATGGTGCAGCACGCCGGCCATGGCAGCCATTTGGGGGGTGAACCAACAGAAGGAAGACCTTTCTCTCTGTCTCTGTCTCTGTCTCTCTCTCTCTCTCTCACTGTCTAACTCTGCCTGTCAAAAAAAAAGAAAGAAAGAAAGACACAGTTACAGAGAGAAGGAGAGGCAGAGAGAAAGAGAGAGGTCGTCCATCCGCCGGTTCACTCCCCATACAGCTGCAATGACAGCAGCTGTGCCAGTTCGAAGCCATTAGCCAGCAACTTCTTACAGGTCTTCCATGTGAGCACAGTGGCCCAAGGACGTGGGCTATCTTCCACTACCTTCCCAGGTGCATTAGCAGGGAGCTGAACCAGAAGTGGAGAAGCTGGGACTCGAACTGGTGCTCACATGGGATGCCAGTGCATTGGGCCGGGACTTTAACCCACTGAGCCACAGCATTGGTCCCTGCTTTTTTTCTTGACTAATAATTGAACATCAGAGTCTGTGTACCTCTCAAAGCCAGGTACCAATGTCTTCTGGTATTCCCCATTTGTTTCTTAATTAATTAACCTTAATTGTAAGAAGTGTGACTTATGAATTGTATTATCACAATTACATGTTGACCCTTACTCGAAGTCATTCATGACTCTCTTTTGTTTAAAGAATCCTCAAATGAAGGAAGTGAAGGTCTAGTAGGACTAACTGAAGCTGGATCTACCTTGCTTCTCTTTTCAATCACATGAGCTAATCACTTCTTTTTTTAATATTCATTTATCTATTTGAAAGCTATAGTTACAGAAAGAGGAGATACAAAGAGAGGTCTTCCATCTGCTGGTTCACTCACCAGAAGACCTCAATGGCCAGGGCTAGGTCAAGCTGAAGTCAGGATCTAGGAGCTTCATTCAGGTCTCCAACAGGATTCAGGGGCCCAAGCACTCAGGCCATCCTCTGCTTTTTTCTCCAGGCTACCAGCAGGAAGCTGGATCAAAAGTGGAGCAGCCAGGACATGAACTTGCAACCACATGGGATGCAGCCATTGCAAGCATCAGCTTTACCCACTAAGCCACAATATCAGCCCCACTCATGACTCTATTAAAATAAAAATTATCACTGTAACCACACCAGACTTCTGCTTTCTATGAATTTCTAATTTCTATGAATTTCTAATGAATTAAAAATGAAGAAATGAATTTCTGCCATTGTGACTAGGGTATAACTTGAAGTGGTAGTTGTAATGGCCTTGTTTTGTTTTTTTAAGAAGCTTAAAGTGTACTGGGCAGACAGATCTGTGTTAGTTATCTATTGCTGCATAATAAGTGAGCCCAAAATTTAGAAACTTGAGACAACCAACATTTAT